GCGGGCCAGCCAAAAAAATTTTTAAAAAAGAAAATAGGCCTGTGTGGCAGAAAGATGGCTAACCGAGCACACAGCCATGGAGTACATTCTGACTCAGAGCAAGCCTACAAAGGCCTTCTGAGGCTGTACAGATTTATGCAAGCAGACAGCCTCATCTTTCTCCTGCAGAGTGGCTGGTGGGTTTGAACCATTTGCTTAGCAGTCCAACATATCCCATAGCACCTTGAGGGCTTCTTAGAGAGGTGCCTATTCTCAAGTTACTATGGATCAATCCTTTCAAAAAAAGCCCTTGGGTTTTAATGGACTCAAAATTGGTATTTCAACATTACTGGCCCTGATATAAACCAATATGCAGAAATACACTATACAGAAATGGATCCTGGGAAAAATAAAGCCCAGATGGAAGGTGGCTGGTTGTACATCAGGTACCTTATGTAATGGCCTCCACTTTCTCCAGAAGAGGAAGCAGAGAATACAGGACTCTCTGTATTGTAGCTAGAAGGGCATTCTCACCACTTACCACAGACAAGATCTTCACGTCAACCCTAAAAGACATGAAATTTAATGCTCCCTCTGTGCTGGTGAGACATCCCAAGGGGCTCAAGAACTTGAAACCTGGAGAGGGTCACATAGATGCTTAGTCTACTGACCACTCCTGATGGGGTGCAGTCTCATGGCCACACTAGCATCACTCATGGTACCCATCAGGCCTATGTGAGGCGCAGCTTAAAAAGGTCAGGCCAAAGCCAGAGAAGCACGTGCAGATAAGTTTCACTTTCATTCAACACACTTTTATTAAATGAAATTATCTTTTTCAACAATACAGATATATTGCTATACACATGGACCTCACCAGACAGAATACAGAGTAACCAAACTGACTACGTCTGTGGGAAGAGACGTGGAAAAATGCAATATCATCAGCCAAAACTCGGTCAGGGTTCAACATTACAACGGACTACCCATTTGCCTATGTGCAAGCTTGGGATGAAACTGAAGAAAATTCAAACAAGCCATGAGGACCAAAATATGAATTTGAACATATCCCACCTGAATTTGGATACCATTCTCAAGAACAGATTTGATGCATTAGACACTAATAATCGAAGACCAGAGGAGTTGTGGAAAGACATCAAGAAGTTCATACATCAAGAAAAAATAAAATGTAATTGGAAAAAACAGGAAAGAAAAGAACTAAGTGGATGTCAGAAGAGACTCTTAAACACAGAGAAGATAAAGCAACTGGAAGAAATGAAGTAAAACGCCGGGCAGAAAATTTCAAAAGGCAGCTCAAGAAAACAAAGTCAAGTATTATAATGAAATGTGCAATGACGTGGACCTAGAAAACCCAAATGGAAGAACAAGCTCAGCATTTTTCAAGCTAAAAGAAATGAAGTAAAACATTCAAGCCTCGACTTGGAATACTCAAGAATTCTATGGGCAAAATACTGAATGATGCTGGAAGCTTCAAAAGCAGATGGACGGAATAGACAGTAACTGGACCAAAAGGAAATGGTCATTGTTCAACCATTTCAAGAGGTAGCATATGATCAAGAGCCAAAGGTACTGAAGGAAGAATTCTAAGGTGCAGTGAAGGCACTGGCAAAAAGCAAGGCCTCAAGAACTAATGGAAATCTTTCAACAAACTGATGTAGCACTGGAGGCGCTCAATCCTCTGTGCCAAGAAATCAGACCAACCAATTGGAAAAGATCCATAATCCTACCCTCATCCCCAACCCCCCAAAAGACTGGAAAAGACCCAGTCCAAAGAAATGTGACCCAAAAAATGCATAAATCACTGAACATTATATATCATACACAGGTAAAATTTTTCTGAAGATAATTCAAAAACGGTAGTAGCAGAACACTGACACGGTGTTGGCAGAAATTTAAGCCAGATTTTGTTCCAGGATGTGGAACAAGAGGTATCACTTCTAATGTCAGATTGATCTTGGCTGAAAGCAGAGAATACCAGAAAGATGTTTACTTGTGCTTTACTGACTAGGCAAAGGCATTTAACTATGCAGATCACGACAAACTATGAATAACATTACAAAGAGTGGGTATTGCAGAACACTTAATTGTGTTCATGAGGAATCTGTACACAGGTAACAGGCAGTGGTTTGAATGGTTTAAACTCCTGAATGGTGTGTGCCAGGG